ACCATTTCTTGATTGCTTTAGGCAACTTACTCACTTCTTAGTTCATAAGAACAATGTTTTTGATAATTCAATTAATATGATAAAATGAGAAGTTTTAATGAATGTATTTAAAAAGTTCAGTCATTAATGAATCAGAAGCACTGTTGCATATGTAAATTATTCATATTTGTATTTAAAATTTCTGAGTTATCAAAAGTCAACACACACATACTATTTAATTGACAAATTTAAAAACTAATTTTGTTTTCCCTTATATTCAGAGAAAATTATAACAAATCTCCTTGCCTACTTGAAAAAAAGCAGACATTTCTTGGGAAATGACTTTGCCTTTTTTGTGGTCCTCTAAAATGGACAGCACATACTTCTCAGCTTTTCTACTAATAAAAAGATAGAAAGTATGGATTCCTAATTGATTCACTCTTTGTTGTGTCCTTAAATATGTGTCCTGTAATCATGTATAGAAATTGGCAGCTGCTAATCTTGGATTGTACCTTTAAAAATATTATATATTAAGCCAAATACAAAGTAAATATCTCAGTAATAGGTTTTGTGATTTCACATTCTTAAGGAAAAGGTATTTTATTTTGGTTACAATGATATTATAATCTTTCCTACCAAATAAATCAATTTTAGTTAATCCTGGTAAGAAAGTGATTACAACGAATACAATTTGTCACATTATAATGCTCAGGCATCAGGACCTTTCCCCTACATGTCCAACAAGTTTCAACATTTGCAAATGTCAAAGATTAGGATAAAATGCTAAATATTTTCACTAAGTTTAAAAGGATTTTCTTCTCAAGTACTGTAGAAATAACATTATTTGAACCCCAATTTTAGTACAATTTGTGTATTTCTGTGGCACAAATAAGAATCCTTTTAAGAAAACAAATGGTGGCTGAGGATTTTGTTCTTCACCCCTTTCATTCAGTCATAAACACAGATGCTGACTCTTCCATAACAGACAATTCCATGCACTTTCTATGTCTGCTTGCATTTGGTGGCATGAAGTTCCTCACTTTGAACATTACAGCAATAACCCAATTCTTTGCTCTGGTCTTTCCAAAACACTTCATGTACAATATGCTCCCTATAACTTGTTTCACGCTAAATGCCCATTTAAAATATTTTTTAAAGATTTATTTATTTATTATGTACACAGAAGAGGGTGCCAGATCTCATTACAGATGGCTATGAGCCACCATGTGGGTGCTGGGAATTGAACTCGGGACCTCTGGAAGAGTAATCGGTGTTCTTAACCTCTGAGCCATCTCTCCAGCCCCCCCATTTAAAATATTTTTGAAGCCTTATAATTTATACTAATAAAATCTAAATCTGTCATATAAGCTCCCTTATGATTTAGATATACTGAATAGTCAGTGTTTTGTTACTTTTGCCTGTAATATCATTTATGATTCTTACTTGACCAAAATCTCACTCAGTCTAATGTTTAATTCAAATACTATTTCCTCTGTACAGTCATTTCCAATCCCCTAAAACAGAAATTAAATCTCCCACAGATATTCCCACAGAATATTTTTAATAGTAATAAGGCCAATTAAAATGCTGTTTTTATTTTAATCAGGTGCCTTCGATTGCAAACAAAGTCCACAATCAACACTGTTACTAGAAACACTATCTTTCACAGGGCTAAATCTAAATGGCTGACATGGATGGATACTACTGGGCTTTGCTAATATATTTGTAGATGTTTTGGAAAAACTGAAGTCAGACAGGTAAAGGCAATTGAGGTGCCCCAAAATACAGGCCAAGAGGGTGCAAGGGATCCAACTCAGTCACATCTACCTCCAGTAAATTGTGACCCAGTGCATGTTACTGAATGCTGTTGTCTTCCTGCTGAGAGCTATGTTTCTTATTGGAGCAGAACATTCCGGTCCTAGAAGTGGCCACAAGGGCATCTCACTCCTAATTCCCTTTTTTTTTTTTTTTTTTTTTTGTTTTTTTTTTTTTTTTTTTTTCCACAAGAGACTTCTTTGTTCCTGCCCTCCCTCCTTTCTGAAAATGCCATACATACATTCTTTTTTTAAAAAAGACTTATTTTATTTTATTTTTCTTTATTAAGAAATTTTCTACTCACTCCTCATGCTATCCACAGACTCCCCCTCCTCCCTCCTCCCCCCACTCCCCAGCCCTCTTTCTCAAGTCACCCCACATCCCCACATCTCCCAAATCGAGGTCTCCCATGGGGAGTCAGCAGAGCCCAGCACACTGAGCCTAGGCAGGTCCAAGCCCCTTCCCACTGCACCAAGGCTGTGCAATGTGTCACACCACAGGCACCGGATTCCCAGAAGCCTGCCCATGTACCAGGGACAGATCCCAATCCGCCTGCCTGGGTTCCCCTCAAAAAGTTCAAGCCAAACAACCGTGTTCCATGTCCAGAGGGCCTAGTTCAGTCCCATGGGGGCTCTACAGCCACCAGTCCACAGTTCACCGGTTTCCACTAGTGTGGTCCGTCATCTCTGCACATCCTCCCATCATGATCTCGATGTCCCTCACCTGCAGTATCTCTCCTCTCTCTCATCAATTGGACTCCCGGAACTCAGCCTGGTGCCTGGCCGTGGATCTCTGCATCTGCCTCCATCTGTCACTGGACAAAGGTTCTATGATGACAGCTAGGTTATTTGCTAGGCTGGTCACCAGAGTAGACCCGTCCAGGCACCCTCTGGACCACTGCCAGCAGACCAAGGTGGGGTCAGCCTTGTCTACCACAGAATATTATCTTTATGTACACAATATCTATAGTTCTTAATGAATGCTCAATGAGCATTTAATAAACAGAAAAAAATCACACAATTTACTCCTGTTGCCATGACTCATGTTTTCCTTGATTTGAAATGATCATCCCACCATAATGATTTTAACGTAACATCCATTGAAATGAGAATTAAAAGAGAAAGACATGCTAAATGTAAAAGTGTGTCTGATTACATTCCATAAAGTGAATTCTGATGTCGCCAAAATTCAGGTCAGAAAAGAGTCCTGAACCAGCTCCATGGTCCTTTCTTCTTGTTACTCACCATGGAAGTCTCTAAACTTGATCACCTGTTCTTAAGCCCAAACATGCTCGACATCTTAAACTGTGTCCATAGCTTCTTGGATGGAGGGTCTGATTTATTGAACACTGTCTTTTGTGAGATTTCCTGTGTTGCTTTTTTTTTTTTTAACAATAATTACTTTATTATAGGTTTCGTAGAATATTCCAATGTATGAAAGTACCACAATGTATATGGACACTTTATAATGTCTAGGTTTTAATTCTTACTAGTAATGCCACTATGAACATTTTATAAATGTGTTTTGGTGACTGAATTTGAACATCTTTTTTTGTTGAGTATGCATCTAAGAATGAACTTTTAGAGTTGAACTTTTTACAATTTGATTTTGTACATGTTGCCTCATTATAGCATCCTCAGTGTCTCCTCCACTGGGGTTCCAGTAGTTGTTCTAAGCGGGATATTAAAGTGACACCCGACTGGATATTTCTTCATCTGCCCCTGCCCCTGCTACTCTGGCCCATCTTGCCTAGTATTGCCAGAGCAATTTATATAAAACTTACCTTTAGCTGAACTCCTATTTTTTTTATCGATTGCTTGCTACTTAAAGATAAAATTCAAATTTTACATAAAGTAATAACATTTTTTATGATCTTGCTAGTGCCACATTTTAACTTTATAACTTTCAGTACTTACTAACATAAACAGTATTATTTAATTGCTTGATTGAAAATTTTTATTATTGCCCCTAGTCTGATGCATTTGATTACCAAAGGCACTAACTTGAGCTACATAAATTTTCTCTTTGTTGATTTCAGTGAAACTCTTGGTTGGAGGTTTTTCTCTTTGAGGTTTTTTCTGGGCCAGCAAAGCATTGTCTTGTACTTGGCTAATATAATGTGATGTTGAAATTACTTGAATTACTTAAGAAATCCCGATGAGGACCTGAGTATATTATTGTGAATTACAGAATGTTCATAATATCGCGCTTATATTTCTCATTTACTAATGGAACCACATCGATCTAGGGATTTCCTCAGGTGGAATTGAATGGCACAGGTTGCACAATTTTATAAGATTTTAGAAAAAAAAATCCTTGCCAGATAACTTTGCGTTCTCTAATTTACAGCATGATAATTAGAGTTGAGGAATTTGTGAAGCAGCAACAACCTTTGTCTTCAAGGGCCAGAATTTCTTCTCTGCTCCAGAGGATTTCTTAAATAAACAATACAGACAGGAAGGCAAAAGTCATGATCATTGGTGATTAGAAATGTTGTCTGATGAAAAACTAGAACTTTGGTAGCAATTTAACTGGAACAATGGATGACTCCAAAGTCAGAGTTTATCTATTTGGTGAGGAAATAAATCTCATTATAAAACAAGTGGACACTCCAGTAAGGTCTACTGAAGAGTGGGCACTCCAGTAAGGTCTACTGAAGACTGGACACTCCAGTAAGGTCTACTGAAGACTGGACACTCCAGTAAGGTCTACTGAAGACTGGACACTCCAGTAAGGTCTACTGAAGAGTGGGCACTCCAGTAAGGTCTACTGAAGA